GTCACCATCTCTGCAGGGACGCATGAGACGTTTCCAGTCCCTACCAGGCTCTGCCGCTTCATCCCAGTAAGTGAAGGGTTTTTTCTTGGGGTCCCGATCCCCAAGTTCCTTTGGGAGCCCTGGTCCTTGCTTCCACAGGGTGGAAAGGAAAGGAAGACAAGTAGCATAGTTATAGTCTTTGCTGGGGGACTTAGCCAAGCCTTGATGGGCTTTCCAGTCAACAGAATAATAAACATCCTCCTCCTTTCCATCTAAACACTTTCTATTAAGACACAGCTCCCTTTATTCTGCTCTTGTCTACAAAAAGCAGGAATTATTGGGACAATGATAAAAATAGAGGGCAGCAAGCTTTGCCTCTTACAAGGAGAGTTATTCCTGGGCTGATGCCTCTTCATGACTGAAGCCACCCTGTAAAAATCACAGATATTATATCCCAGACTGTATAAGCATTGTCACTAAATGGTACACATAGATAAACCAAGCCAGTAACAGATGTGCTTGCATCAGCTCCAATAACAACATTCATAAATTCATTTAACAGGGACTTCATAACGTTTGCAAAATGATATTCTAAAGTAATTGCTTCCCTTTCAAGCACTCAGTATATCTTAGCTTTTGAGGACAGTGCTTGCATATTTGTAAGTTACACATTTGGAGATAAATTAGTGAAGTAACATTAATGTACACTGAGAATTCATCATCATTACGTGGCTTCCTACAAAACAGACTTACATGAAATGACTTTTAAAAGGAACAGTGAAGAGAACAGCTGTATATGAAAAAGATGCTAACTGAAAGTTTCAGATTCCAACTTAGACACTTTGTAGTTTGCCTGGGCAACAGAAGCAGGCCCTTACTAGTAATTTGTCATACTGGATGAACAATTTTCAGAAATTATATCACCAGGTCTCCTTTAAAATGGTATTGGGGAGGAAGTTGTGGGATTTAAGTTTAATTTTTCCTGTTTGTATTTTTTAGAAAAGCTATGTTAAAAGTTCTTCCAGCTCTTACTGTTAGATGAAGTGCAACAGTCCACACTGAAGGCAAGAGGAACACTGCTAGTAGTAAGCACTGAAGCACAGTGCCTGGTTACCTGTTTGGAAGATAAGAACCTCAATTAGTTCCCATGATTACTAGTTTGCTCTTTCACCTCTATTCCCCACACACACTCAAAATATACTTTTATATTGCACATGAAATCTAACACGGATGCTAAAAATGGAGTAGCTGAAGCCATTCTTGTGTAGTAATTTGGAATTAAGAACCAGTTTTTTCTATCATAACTCACTTGTGGATGTACTGAGTCACATATGCAGCCCCATTCAGTTTGACTTCAGTCCACACCATGATTACATTCAGGAGAATCAAGTCCCATTTTATTTGACGAGGGGAGATAACAGAATAGACTGCAACGTCAGTTTTAACCTGTAAAAATGACATCCTGCTTTAATATTATAATCTTCCTTTCTTTAATGATCTTCACCAAAATTATATTAGAAGATTCAGTGGCCTTGGTGAAAGCATGAATGAATTGGACAGGTAAGGATAGTTGGAGGATGTTGTCAGCCCCAAATTATTTTATAAAAGTTGCTTGCCTGATTCCTTTACATCTCAGAAGAAAAACTAAAAGGATGACTTCAAAACAACTGAATTCCTATGTTGGTATGCATCAGTTTTGTAGAACTGTATTTTCCCTCCCCAATTTAGCATTTTTTTCACTTGTGTATGCATTCATTCATTTTACCCTCAGTACATTTATGCTTTGATTTTGACCCTTTTCTGACAGAAAATCCTACATCCAGCTCTCTGTCTCCAGTTTCCAAATGTAAAATTTAGGAAGCTAAATTTCACAGTGCAGCCTCGCTTTGGTTTCCCAGAAATACCTTCCTGTTAATTCCCTTCTATTTTTAAAAAGTTATCACTTCCATGTTTTATCCCCTTCAGGTCTTCCACATGATAAGTGACAACAATCAAAATACAATAGTCAAGAATTAAAGAGTAACAAAGTAAGGATTCACTTTTAAAAATAAAAAATAAATGTATGCATTGACAGTATATTTATGTATATTGAGCAGTTACTGTAGTAAGACCAAATGTTCTCTCTTTTCTCCCTTCTCCCCCATAGTTCCAGCACAGACAGAAGGCTTTTATTTGTTATCAGTATTTTTACCTTATTTTCCCTTATTCAAGCCATTTTCATTATACAGAAACTTCTTGCTGAGATGCTAGAGTACTAACCTTGTCAGGAGAGTAGAGCCATAGTAGTCAAGGAGTGGTCCCCAAAGTCATTCTGTATGTGGCAGCCAGATGCAGCCAAAATGAAGTAGGCACCTGGGGGTGGAGAGGGTGGTAACAGGGATCCTAACCCTGTTAACTACATGCAGAGGTGATGCAGAAGGGAAGAGTGGGGTTTGAGCAAAACTTTTGTGATCCACAGGGGCAGACCACTACAGGAGCCAGGACCAGCAAGAACCCAAACCTCAGTACTTAGGCCTGCTAAGCAGCTAAAGAGGGCTCCAGGGCAGGGGCATCGAAACAGCTCATTAGGCTGAGCAAGAACACCTGGGCACATCACCAAGGGTATTGATCAGTTGACTGAAAGGGGCCGAGTTTGTGCTGCATATAAGGCCAGGCTCTGGGTTGGGGTGGGTAATCCAGGTCTGCAGGCTGTATGGGAACAAGTAGAAGATAAGAGCTACTCTAGCTGCTAGGGAAAAGGCAGTATCCTGGGTCTGCAGGGAAATCAGGTTGGCTCCTTGTAGTAACTGATACTTCCCTGAGGGGATTTTGGGATGAGTTGTAACCAGATGGATAATCCTTTTTCCATTTGAGCTTGCAGCTGGATGACTGGATTGTTACTGTAAGGGAGTCTAGAGACCACAAAGCTAGGTGCTAGAGGGTGCTTGGTACTTTAAAAACATTTGGCCCAGGATGTGCAGAGATGAGGCCCAGGAAGCTTTTAGACAGACTACAAAAATGGGCAGATGAGAATAGGATGGGTTCAACGTAGATAAATGCAGGGTGCTGCACCTTGGGAGAAGGAATCCACAGCATACATACAGGCTGGGGAGTTCCCCTCTTGAAAGTACAGAGGCGGAAAGGGATCTCGGAGTCATTATTGACTCCAAGATGAACATGAGCCGCCAATGCCAGACCACAGCCAGCAAGGCCAGCCATACCTTGTC